CACATAATAGAGAGACTATAAAAAAAAACCCGCTGAATATTTATATGTTGACATTTGACGCCACCAGAGGCGACGACGGTGACAGTTAAGTTTCATTCTATCGTTCAGCATTATAACCTCTTGAACGTCAAAAAGATGATGTAATATCGAGGGCCACACGCCAATGATTTCTATATTCCTTTCACGGCGTATACTGTACTGAGCGTTATCACCCGTTTTGCTCGAATATGCACGTTATCAACGAATATTTTAAATAAATGTATTAATAGCTGGGCTTTACAATGAAACGAATTATTATTAAATACTTTACCAGATATAGTATTGTGATAAGTTGTTTTTATTCCACTCTAAAGGGTTGTAAAAAGTATCACTTAAAGTCCTTTTTATACTTTAGTTTTACACGAAACGTAAGTCATTACTGCTATTACGAATGAATGACATGTGCATGTAATAAATCCAACAAAAACTTCGAATAAAATGTCTAAAAGTTATAAATTTCATACAAAATAATAAGCATCTATTATCTACAACAGTACTTATACAATATAACAGATAGTTTATGTATAAAATAACTGTCACAGGGTGTCAGTAGCAAGCGAGCGTGCCTTTGGTGACACATTCATGCAAAGCGTTAACAATGGGCAAAACTGCTACCCTGCCGACTGTTATAAGGACCCGTTAGCACAAATAAGGCCAATAATCGTTCAATGACGACACGGCAAAGTGACACCGGCGACAGCACACACACACCTACTAAAACATGGCATAAGGGCTACAAACGAAATGTAGCTTAACTGGATTTGTTGTATTACAGACCCAGAGACACACAAATTCAATTATAATTATTAAATAGGATTAATAATTAGAAAGTTATCAGTTAGAATTTGAAATGCACGCCAACAATATCCTTGAGTATTAGTTTTAAAAGAAGAGATCTTCATATGGCAATATTGTCCAAAAATTTATGTTGAAATCTAATTTTAGCACTTCTCCTTTAAAAAAATCTGGATTTACCTTTGGTTGTTTTATATAATATTTTTTAGAGTGACGGAAAACACAATTAGAATGCCTAAAGAAAATTTTATTCTAAATGTACCAGTGGTCATAATTATTCTATTTTCATTATTTTTATTATTATTACAATTAATTATTGTTTACTGTGAATATGTTATGTATATTTTAATATTTATAAGTTAAGTCAATTTTCAATATTATGAAAAAAATACGAATTTAACGCAAATACATGTACAAAATTTAGTTGTAGTCTATTAGGAATATTATATTTTATACTATCAACAAATGTTTGAAAAAAAATTTTAATTCATAATATAACTATTTGGGAGTTAGTAAGAATTAACTAACGTTCACCAACGTAATGAACGAAATTAGTGTTTGTCTTGTATTCTGTAAAACCGAGAACAAAATTGAACTAACGATAATAAGAACAACACCAAAATTAATACTTGACGTACAAGAATAAAATCCAAATCATGATATAATGGGCAAAAGCCCAGGGTTGGATTAAGGGGGTAAACACCCGAGACCCATTTTAAATTTTTTTAACGTGACAAAAAAAGAGGGAACTACTCTTTCTTTTCATTACAACGTAAAACACCTTAACAAAACCGATAGGATTTATTATAATAATTATAATCAATATTATTATAATTTATAATAATATTGAATACACTTTTTATATTAGCTCATTACGAGCATTTTTTAAAATAAGTAATGCCAATGACCAGTGAGTCCTATATATGTATATTTTTTAATGTGTATTATGTTATCGATTCCTATACTATCTTATAACTAAGTGTCTGGAATTTTATTTTTAATTTTCATGCATTATTATTATATAGTATAACTACTATTAATAACAAAAAGATTATATAGTATTCATACAATCTATTTCGTAGAATGATAAAAACCCATTTTCTAAATCAAATCTTACGTTCACTGGCGTACGCAAGGGGGGTTTGGGGGGTTGAACCCCTCTCTCCCAAAATTTATAAGATAAGCGATAATTTTGGACGATAAACAATAAGTAATAACAATAAAAAAGATCATATCATACTATAAATATTTCGACAATAAAGTAATCGAAAATAGGAATTTTTGTAAGCGAATAATATGGGCAGTGTCACATCTAATTTTCTTTAAATTTCAAACCCCCCACCCCCAAATTTAATTTCTGTGTACGCCACTCTTTACGTTAAACAACATAAGACATCGAAAAAGATAACAAATTACAAAAACCAAAAATAGTGAAACGGTTAGGTTCTACTAGAAAACTTAAGTATACAGACATTTTTTTTATTGCTTTTACTAAAATCTAATAGCGAAGTCAAGAGGGGGTTTTGGTCAATTATTACTGTTGACAGTATATGACTTTGGAACTAGAAAGAGGGTGTGATATTAAAAAATAAATAAAATTATTAGCTCCCAAACAAAATTACTGGCTACGCTACTGAGAAAAGCAATCAATATCAGCTTTTTTTTATGACTGTTCATAATATCTTATAAAAAAAGTCGATTCAAAAGTATTACAAAATCTATTTGGAATATAAAACAATTATTTGTAACCTTTATTATAAAAAACGACTGATATACCACTAATTTCTTCCAAATGTAATTATAGTGTAGAAGTTACTTTTGGATTGTCAAGTAATATTTATACACTTCTAATATTAATTAGTTCTCTATTTTTTATTGATTAAACATTTTTTTGGGTCTATTATCTGTAATGGCATCAATTTTTTTTTTTAAATGGCTATATAAATATTTAACTATTTTAAATGGTTAAAAATAATTCAGAAAATGATTAGTTACCATAAACTTATGAATTAGTATTTTGAAAGTTTAGAGTATGTATGTTAATTTTTTTCATTATGCATTTTTTCCCAACCATATATAAAAATATTCATAACTCTTAACTTGTTCAAAATTTGTTATGGACGAGTCACTTTCTAGTGTTTAAGATAGTTAAATATGTATAAAACATTGAAAAAAATAAAGTTGATACCCTTATAACATACAATATAATAATATATAACAACTTAATAATCGAGAAGTAAATATAATATAATAAAAACAAAAAAATAACATATTAAACATTATTTTTTTAGGATTAATTTAGTGGTTAATGATATATCATTCGCTTTGTATAAAAATAGCCATTACACGATTAATGAATTTACTGAAATATAGAACTGATAACAAAGTAATTTTTAAAATCCTGTATATTGTGCTGTTTAATGAGTAGGGAATAAAAGATATAATAATAAATTCATATTTTAATACCAAAATAATTTTATTACTCCTAATTAAAATATAATAACTTTCCTTGCCTAAAGTAATATGAAATTTTAATAAAATTTTATACAACAATTTAATTTTCTTAATATCAAAATTTTAGCTACAGCTTATGTCTATTTTTGAAATTATACTTTAATTAGTTCTTTTTTTGTTATTTAAAATAGATTATACTAATTTAATTACTAATACATAAAGATATATATATATATTTATAAAGCACGTGAATGCAATAAAACATTTAGCCCTAAGTAATTATAACAATTAAAAGCTTCATAAATACTTATTTTGTAATGTCTTTGTCACATAAAATACTTATTATTGTTATAATTTTCTAAAAAAACAACTTAATAACTAAAAATTTAAAAAATCTTACCTTAAATTCGTGATTCGAATAAATAATAAGCAAATATCGTCTAAAATTCACTACTGATTTTTAAAAATATAAAATGAGAATTATTTCTATTATTAGTAAGATATAACAGATATTTTCGGTAATACTTAATACATTAATTTATTTTAAATATCATCTCATTGACACAGTGTTATTACAATTTAAAGTACAAAATATCTCATTTTAGTAACGTGTTCCCGTAACAATAAGCCTTGCCCTTCGCCACTATTAATAAAAAATAATTAATATTATAAAATATATTTTTCTTACTTAAAATTAATAGTAATATCATAAATAATTACAATATCATAAAAGATTTTATACATTTTTGATTTTATAATTAAGAAGATTTGTGTTTATACAAAGGCGAGCAGACAGACTGACATGAAGGGACTTTAAGTGACAAAGATTTAAAGGATTTCTTACTATGGAAATAGAATAATATTCTGTGATACGTAATCTTATAGATACTACAATTTTACAAACTAGTTATTTTAGATATTTGAAAAATTCATATTAAACAATTTAATATATCTTGTATTTAACTATGCACGTTTCTGATTTAAATATTATCGAGTCACATGATTCATAAATCCTTAAAATATGTTAGTTTAACATATTTCGGGATTTTAGAAAGAATCTATGAAGAAGCAAGACTGTTAAAAGTTTTTGAGTATTCCACTAGATCACAGCATAAATGTCAAATGCGTTTGACCCAACCAATACGAGAATTAGTATTTTATAATATATAAATATATATAGCATAAGCACTGCGAATTTTTTAAATAGTGCACTCTTAGTTGACAAATTAACAAAATTTTTTTTATTATTAACTAACATAATAACTATATATGTTACATAATAATATCAAATAAAGATCGAAATCATGTACAGTATTTACATTGATCTACCTTTAAAGCATTACTTTATAAATAAATAATCGTGCTCAAATAAAGTTTAGAGCTTTTAGTAATTTTGTATATTAAACTATTTAGAATAAAAAATCAAATCACAAGTAATTTGACATTAAAACGTTTTAATATTGGAATTTTGAATAGGACAAATTTTTTAGATATGTTTATTTTAGTATTAAATCAAATGTGGTTTAGAATTTCTTTTAATAAGATATTTTTTAGCTGTAGAAATCTCTTAATTATATTTAATATTTTCATTAGTCACTTTTTGTTCCGATCACACTAGTTACACGCGTTTACTACTTGGGCGCGTTGTATTTTAGAAGCATCATATCTATTATAAGTTATTGGGCTTTGGTTAATCACAATCGTCAGCTGGCAGTACAAGTGAGGCGCCTTTAGTGATAAGTGATAATTTTGAATTAAATTCGTAATTTAATGCAATGGAATAATTTAATGCCAATTTTTTGTAAATCTAATATACATACTTATAACTAAACTACTTAGCCAAATTTTAAATAAAGAAACTAGCTAAGCTAATGGTATTTTTAATTATCCAGGTAGTAATTAGTGTAAATCCTAGGTAATATAAATAAATATATTAAATTAACTGAATATTTCTAATTATTTTAATTACCCTTAATGATTAATATTATTCTAGATATTTTTTAATAGGGTAAATAGATAATAAAAGTTTAGATAAAAACCTTATTAAATAATTTGTTTTATGCGTAAATTGTAAAATTCATTTTTTGTTTGAATGAAAATTTTTTTTCATTTTTACTGTGTTAGCATTCAAAGTTTCAGCTACTTAATATAATATAACTTAAAAAATATTTAAAATATATTCTTAGCAGTTAAATATGTATCTTATATTGAACTTCATATTGTGATATGCAGACTATACATAATATACAGAAAGTTATTTTATTGTAGGATGATAAAGTAATTAATAATAATATATTATGTTAATATCAGAATTGATGTTAGAGCAAAATCCCATGCACTTATAAATATATAAATATGAGTAAATAGCAAACATAAAAAGTTCTCTTTTATTTAAAAAAAAGAGCATAAAAGGGACCTAACAACATTTTTGCATTGGTTCTCATAATATCTAACACTAGCGCTGGTTAATACAGTTTCAGTAAATTTTCTAATTGAGATATTGTTAGTAAATTTTATCTAAGAATAATTTTTAATCATTCTTACTCTTTATATTTATAATTTTCATGAATACTAAACCCAAATATTGCTTTAAAATTATGAATTGGACATATGCCAAAATTCCTAAAGATACACACACTATTTCTTTTCTAGATGCTGTGCCAAAAATACTTTTGTCACTTATATTTGAGTACACTTATTTATATTATACTCAATATGTTAAAAAGTTAAACAATTCATTTTTTATATTTAAATTTATAGAACTTATTAAAGTTTTTTCAAATTATAATTTTTATATGTGTTTATTTAGTTAATGGAATAATATAATGGCATCCAGTGATCCACTATTAGTTCAAGCTGTATATTCATTTAAAGGAAAAAATAATGATGAAGTAAGGAATTCTATGATAAGTTTAAAATTTTTAACTTATGTTAGATGTCATTGAGTAAATTATATAATACATTACATTTTTATAATTTGTTATAATATTTATATATATAGTTTTACATTTATGTAACATTATGTTTCATTTTTATACGAAATATTAAATTATTTTATTTCTCTTTAAAAGACCTTGAAAGTGCTGTTTGAATACATAGAATACATTTATGAATATTTCATGTAATTTATTTAAAAATAACTAATTTTTATCTATTAAAAACTATTATTTTTAGGTTAAATTGTTATTATCTCAACTTTGAACTATATTATTTAACTTGCTATTTGTTGTGTATCATTTTAATTTATATATTTTTTCTATTATTCTTTATTTATTTTTTGATGATATTTCTGTAACCTTTTAAATTATTTAGAAATTTTTCTGTTTTTTATGATATTCTATAATTTAAATTTATACTCTCAAAAAAGTTGTTTAATTAAAATTTTTTTAATATTAACAGTTTTTATAAAAATAATTTTTTTTGTATTTTGTATAGTTGTGTTTGAAAAAAGGAGATATTGTTACTGTTACCCAAAAAGTAGACGGTGGATGGTGGGAAGGTACTCTTAACGAAAAAACAGGATGGTTTCCATCTAATTATGTTCGTGAATACTTGCCTCAAGGTATGAGAATTATTTATTACTTATAAATTTTCCACGTAATGATTATTATATTTTTATTTTATTATATTAGGGGAAAATATAATAGATAATAATGTGCCGACATTATCTATAGATTTAACAGAACAGCTTAGAAGTAATAGAGCTGTTGTTGTTATGGATATAATAGAATCTGAAAGAGCCCATGTTACTGAATTAAAAACTCTAATACAGAGTTTTCTGATTCCATTAAAAAGTTCCAATGTGTATGAATTTATTTCTTATTATTAAATTGTTTGTCTTCTTTGTCTAAATTAATTCTTAATTCTATTTATTATTAGAATGAGTATGGATGAATATAATCAATTAGTAAATAATATAGAAGAAGTATCCAAAATTCATGAAGCACTTTTAGAGTCATTAGAAAAAGTTATTACTCATTCACAAGCTGAACAAAGAATTGGAAAACTATTTTTGAACATAGCTTCAAGTATTCGTGATGTGCATTTACATTACTGTTCTTCACATCCACGAGCTGTCAGCATTATTGAAAAATACAAGTATTAAAATTTTTCTGTTAATAATATTAGATTCATTGATTAAAATATTAGGAATCAAAAATAAATTATTTTAACCTTATATTTTAGAGATGAATTAAATCAAGTGATGGAAACTCACGGAGCAGTAAGCCCTGGTATTTTAGTTTTGACAGTTTCCCTAAGTAAACCATTCAGGCGATTAGACAAGTATAGTGGTATGCTACAAGAACTAGAAAGACACTTGGAAGAAAATCATGTAGATAGAGGTGATACTCAGCGTTCTGTTAGTGTTTACAAAGAAATTGCGGTATGTTTATTTATAAATGTGATCTTTTTTTTTATTAAACTCTAATTTAGTAATAATTATTATTACATTACATTATGTTGTTGTTATTTTGAATAAATAACTTAATTTAAGTACCCTTTGTGGTAGATTATATTTTTATTTTGCAAAATAGTTTTTTAAGTAAGTAAAACTAAATAAAATTCATATAAATGTAAAAACTTTTTAGGCCACATGCCTGTCAACAAGGAGACAAAAAGAATTGGAACTATCAATTTTAAGTGGTGTTGTGCAAGGTTGGGAAGGTGCTGATGCAGGTAGTCTAGGAGATGTGATAAAAATTGGCTCAGTAGCATTTAGTCCAGAATATAAGGATAGATATCTTGTTCTATTTTCTACTCATTTACTTATACTATCTGTGTCACAAAGACTTAGCTCATTTATCTATGAAGTAAAAATGATTTTTCTTTAAGAATTTAGAATTTTATTTACAAAATATTATGAGTACTAATATTTTTTTCTTAGGGAAAGTTACCATTAAGTGGAATTTCTGTCAAACAATTAGAAAATTCTGGCAATGTTAAAAATGCTTTTGAAATACATGGTAAAAAAATTTTTTTTTGATAAGAGTTACACTTGCATTGATTTATTTTATATGTTTATAAATAGGACCAATGATTGAATCCATAATTGCTGTTTGCCAAACAAAAGAAGAACAAGTAGATTGGGTGAAAAAAATCAACAAGCAGTTAGGAAACAATTGTACTATAAATAAACCGACAAATAAATCAGTAAGTTTAAGTCTTGGTCGTCTTAGTGAATATTTTGCACATATGGTTTGCAAAGGAGTTATCACTAGATCTCTCTTGAAATCAATTCTTTATACAAACACAAATTATATTGATATATCATCAGTCACATGGCGTCGCTTAAATAAATCAAAGCAATCTATTTATCATCATAATACTCACAATTTTCGATCAGAAGGTAATCAAGTTAAAGCAGACTTTAACACTCCAAAGTGCATACAAAATCTCAGACATTTTTCGTCAATGTTAATCAAGAAAGATGGACAAATAGTATATGGCAAAAAATTGTTATTCACTCCTATACAAGTTAAAGAAGCCTGTGAAGATTTGACTAAACTTACATTATATAGTGATGGTATTAATGAATATGAAGATCACACTGAAAAAAATTGCCTAAGCAATGAACTTTGTGACCAATATTTTATGAAAAAACATTTGACTATACCTTTTCTACATTTAAATGAGAAGAATGATTTAGATACGACATTAGAAAACAGAGATAGTACCTATTCATTATGCGATTTAAATAATTCTAATTGTTATAATGATTGTTGTTCTGATGATGAGAAAGGCACTGAAATTAGTCAAGATTTTCTTTACTACAGTTTTAACCCTAATAATAGCATTAATAGTTTACGATCATCAGACTCTGGTCTTGCTGATATTACAATGTTAGTTAATCCTCAATCACCATTGCCATCTACTGAAACATTTAGCAATGAAAATTTATGTAAATGTTCCTCATCAGTTAATATAAATTCTTCCATTTTTGAAGATGACTCTAGTTTATTGGATAAAACACCTAGTACTACTACACAGGGTGTTACTTTTCGGTCTGAAATGTATGCTCATTGGTGGCTCAAAAAAAAGTTACCCGGGTCATATGGTGGTTGTGATTCAGGCAAGATAAATATATAACATCTTAATGTGTTTGATTTGCTAACTTTGTACAAAATTATACTTATTATATATTATAACACTACTAACAACAGAAGAAAAATCCTAGCAAATATTAAAACAACTACTTAAATTTTTATATATGTAAATTGAATAAAAATTCATATACTTAATCATAAATATGCTCTTAGTTAATGAATTTTTATCTACTAAATTGATTTTTATGCCTTGAATCACATAGCCTTATACATTTTCATTAGAATTCAGATGACCCAAAATAATCAAAAAGAATTATCAAATATGACTAAATTAATATTAATAGCCAAATATTTAAATGCTTCAGGTGTTTTTAACCGTTTTGTATTTTATTATTTTCATTTAATCAGTATAATTTGAAAACCTCTTATATTATTATTGGCAAAGCTTTTTTATAGTTAAAAAAAAAAAAATTTTATCATTAAATTATCAAATACACATTACTTAATTTGAATTAATATAATTTTATTTAATAGGTGGAAAAGAATAATCTTTCAGTTTGGGATGTCACAAGACTTAGACCCATCCCATCACTACAATTTTGTCACCACAACAATGATAAAAATGATATAGCAAATAAAAGAAGTAAGTTAACCTTTTAAAAATATATATTATGTTAAGGAAAGGTTAAAAGAATGAATGGAAGAATCATAAAATAATATCAGTAATCCTCTAATAGGTTGAACAAAAAATATAATTCTCACCTTCTTATGACTTCATTATTTGGTAACCATTAATCTAGATTTTCAAAGTTTATTTTTGAAGTACAAAGTGATCATTTATCATGAACGACTTAAATGATGACTTGAGAAAAGATGTAAGTTCTGTTAATTCTTATTTAATTACTAGCCAGATGATTTCTCCCACCAAGATATAAAAATGTCACTAACTTTAGAATTACTTGTTCAAAGTTATGACCAGTCTTTTTCTTATTTAAATTATTATCTATTAATAAACTAGTTAATAAGTTTATATTATCATAAGATATAAGGAGGAACATTATAAATTATAAATTAAGAAAAAATGTCTTTAAAAGAAACCAAAATTATAATTACAGCATAATTTCACTATAATTTTTTTTATTTAACTATGTACAATTGTTTAAGTGTTTAATTTTATATAATCAAATTAAACATTACATTTTAGGCGAGAGAACCTTTGAAGATGATGGAAAAGTTTTGAGGGTGTTTGAAGCATTTTGTTTAAATTCAAAATCACGGCACACAAGTTCAGGTATGATTTATTATTAAAGAAAAACAAAAAGTACTATTTTATTTTTTTGTTAAGTTCATAATATATTTTAAATTGCCTAATTAATACATTTTTAAAATAATTTCTCATTTATTTGATTGTAGGAAATTAGATGGACATTTTACCGTGAGAAATTAAAATACTTAGAAACTTGATTCAAATAGTAATCATCAAAAATTAACTACATTTAATTTTATTCTGAAGTACTTTGTACAATCCATATGTATATATGTGTATACATTATGATATATTTATTTTTGTATGACTATGATTTTTATTGATATCTAAAAAAATAATTTTATATTTTTGTTTGTATAACTTAACCTTTATAAAAAATTTTATTTAAAAAACACCAATAAAATGTTATTTATTTTATATATAAAAATAATATGTTGTCTAAATTATAGCTGATTATAATTTTGCACTTTTTATTTTAATGATAAACTATTTATACTAATATGTAGTGAAATATAAATACCACGAACAAATATATTATTTGAATATTATATTTGATATTTAAAAATTAAAAATAATCGAATTACTTATTTTAAATTTTTTCTCAATAATTCCACATTGATTAGATATTTTAATTGGCACCTATATATCTATTAAGCATAATTAAGATATAATTTGATGATTATAGGTATTTAGTAACTCTTTGGTCGAGAAACTTTTATATTATATTAAATTCAATATGATTTATACTTTCTAAAATGTCTACTTTATACTTTATACTTTCTAAATAAGCTTGTAAGTATAATTACAACAGTACTAGTTGCACAAAATGGGGCCATTGAAAATTTATAATGAAGGTATTGATAACATTTACAAACACAATGCAAATGGATTTTTTCAGATTAATATTTTAATGTAAGTTTTTATTATGTATATATTTATAAATATATTTGAATTTCTAGTTTAAATATGGGTGCTAAAAGTGTTATATACAGCTTTAAAAATTTTAGTGTTTAATTTTTAAGCGCGAAAAAATTTTTTGCTGTATTTGATATAATTTACTTAATGTAATTACAATGTAAAAAAGGGACTTCACACAATTTTATTATAACACATTTCAAAATATCCAAAATATGGTTAAGAGTACTTTATTTGGGAGTGACTTACGATCAAAACACACCTATATTTGAAGTTATGACTTTAAAACAAACTTAATCTACATAATTGAATTGGTAAATTAAAATTATTTTAATAATAACTGAATTATTAACTAAGTAAAAAGTTATTATTTTTTTTTAATTTTTCCTTTTAACTAGTTTAATTAACCGTTAAAATAACTTTTTTCAATTAACAAAATAATAAAAATTAAACTAAACTCATATAATTTTTTTGTCTTTATTTTCTAAATATATGGTTTAAATAAAATTATACAATATAAATACAATTACCTATTAAAAGAAAAACGAGAGTTAAATTGAATATCAAATTTACCCTTAATAAATTATTTATATAACAACAAATGTAATATTTTGAATTATTTCGGAAGGTTGGAATTTTTGAACTTTGGGGATAAGCTTTTGTTATTGCTCTAGTATTATTCATTATAAATTGGGATACCAGAAAGCAAAAAAAATTCTTGAACTGATTTTTTTTATAACAACTGTAGTTTAAAAAATAGAACAATGCAATCAACACCAAATTTTACAAAATGATGTTTAGTTACAAAAATAAATAAAAAATATTTTTGTTTTCTATACCGTTTTAAAAGTTTGAAATCTATTCTTAGACTTCCCTAGCTTTACCGACCAATAAAAAAAATTAAACATCAAAAGAATTAAATAACTTTTTGAATATAAGTTAAGTTAAAAAAAATAATTTTATATTTTAATTTTTAATTTTAACTTTTAACAAGATTTTAATCTATTTTAATTAACTTTTAATCTATTTATTTGATGATTTTTAACTGTTGACATTGTTACTACTTAAATTAACTTGAGTTAATTATTATCATTAATTTGACCATCTTTACATATTATTGTAACTACAGTTGAATGACCGTTGTGTTTAAAATTACCAAATCAATTTAATTATTATTTTTTAATATTAAATATAAATTTAACTCTAATGAGTGTGTGATCTAAAGAGGTCGCTGTCATATACGCTTGTGTATAGTCTAGCTACCGCATGTATACTATGAAAAGCTAAGTATATAAATAGAATACCGCCGGTGCCGGCAGTCGTGATCGTGCACACAACCGAATATTAACCATTAAGTATACCTCTGAATCAGTATGATCGTAGATATTTCACAACATCAAATTTAATTTTTAGAGTAAATCTAGTGAAATATTAAACTCGTGTTATTCTAAAAGTAGATTTTATTTTACACTAAGAGTCATATAACAGACCTAATAAGATCGAATTTATGAAGCATATGTAAAAAGGTTATTATATTTTACTTAAATATAAATAACACTCAGACATATCTCAGTCCAAATGATGTATTATTAATAATAACCGTTACCTCGGATAGAGTTCGCCGCAGCGGTTCCACACTTGCAGAAGTGTAGCTTAGATTATTTCAGACAATTACTCTTATTTTATTGAAATACACATTGAGCTATTTTCTTTTGATTTTATGATCTTTTAGGATTAAATTTTTTTTTATAAATAAGTACGATACTAGCAAAGTATTAAATTTTCAATCATTGTTTAACGATATAGATAATGTGATGTGATGGGTAAATTATTATTAACCACATCAATTAAAATCGCGATATAGAAAATAAATATTTACTATGGCTGACAGTGAAGGAAGCTCAGAACAAGATGATGTATCATTCCTACGGACGGTAAGAGTTAACAATTATTTCTACCTGTTGAAATTTAACATTCATTTTAATAAGTTTTCATATTTATTTGCAATATTGTGTAATAAAGTGCGTGTCGTAATTTTTGTTAAAAATTTAGTCATTAATTTTTTGACGCTTAAATAATTAAACAAATTACATAAGTTAATTCTTAAAATTTATTTGACTAACTCATTACTAGTATAGAAAAACTTTAAATTACCAAGAAAATCATTTATGATCTATTTATTTACTAAAAATAACAAAATTAACATTAAAATGACAGACGGAAAATGAAACATAAAAGCTTTTGATAAAATTTTTATTTAAAATTTATATAAAATTTCTGTTCAGTGTTTGCCAATGACACATACTTTTGAAGAATATTTTCCTAAATTTATTATTTTTAATAAAATTGTTTTCTTTTTTTCTACTCAAAAATTGACATTAGTACGTATAATTTATATTCATATGAATGGCTAAACCTTTTAGTCCTTCTATATTGAAAGCCTTCCACTAATAACATGATTTTAGATAAGAGACTTAATAGATTACCCTCCTTTCAGCTCACCATTGATTATACTTGGGTAAAATACTTTTTCGAATATCTCGAGAAATTACTATTTGAATTTTTACTATATCAAATCTAAATATTATTTTACACTTTATTTATTTAATAAAATACATTATTCAGGCCACAAATATCAAAATGAATACCCAGAAAGTTAAAAGACTCACGTTTTGCATTATAAAATTTTTTTTTGTTTTTTGCAAAGCATTTTACATATGTTATAAATTACAAAAACACTGAATACGCATTCTTGAAAAAGTAATTTTTACATTAAAATATTGATATTTAAAATGAATGTATATTCTTCACAATTTTCGAATGTTGAAGATATTATGAATTGCATGATTTAGATTTATTAATAATTTTTTTATTTAATTCATTGTCGGAGTATTCAATGTGTGTTCTTTGGCCAAGTATAACATTTATAAGTAGTAATAATTACACTAATTTTATAGACGTTGAATTACGCTCCTATAATTCATTTTTAATCCCTAAATAATATTTAAAATGGTAATTTAAGTGTATACTATTTCAACATTTTTAAAAAATTCAAAAAATAATTGAAAAACTTTGGAAGATACACCCACAGTAAAAATTCTACAGGAAATTTAAAAACAAACGTATTGATTACTTTAGTAAAGTTAATCATAAATTCTACTTAATACTTATGAAATTAAAATTGTATACTTTAAAAATCATAAATATTTGGTTTTTGTAATAATCTAGCACAATTAGGACTTGGCAGAGTTTGGACCTAATTTAGATGAAAATCTGACAGTGATTAACATCTCTATTATAAAATGCTTCAATGCGAATGTGCATAATGAAAGTTAAAAAAAAACAATCTGAAAAGGAAAGGGTTAGGTAATCCTTTATTATTTTAAAAATAAGTAAAAAAATATCGAAATGTTCATATTTTAAGAATCGTTATTTTTGGGAGATACTCCACAATAACGGAAACGAGAGAAATTTTTCAAATTTTGAGGATATTGACAAGATACAATCTTTGAATTTTCGATATATTGGTTAATAAAATAATCGAATAGAAACTGAGAATTTGTGGCAAAAACATACAAAAAAAGCATCCTAATAAAATTAATATTTTCTCAGTTTGGCATCACAGCTAAAAATATAAAATATTTGTATATTTCAGTGGCATAGCCAATAGTGAGACAAAAGAGTTATAGCCCCATTCCGAAATTTCGTGAATTTAAAAGTTATTAGTTTGACATATGAAAATAATTGATATCTATGATTTTTAAATTGTAGTTAACTAATTTTAAACTATTATTTTTATTCTATTAGTTTATCCTTTATACACTTCAAAATTAATAAATTATACTATTTGAAGAAAAAATGAATAGCTCATCCAAAAAAATATCTGATTACGCCAATGGTATAATGTAAATTTTAAAACTTCATAATAAAATGATATAATTATCCTAAAAATAATTTTCAATCCAAAAAAAATCTTGCCTTTCAAATTTTTATTACGTGTTAAAACAAAAAGAATGTATTAAACATTAGATTTATACATAAATTAGATTTATGTATTTATATAAAAATACATTTTTTTTTTAGGAAGACATGGTGTGCCTTTCATGTACGGCTACCGGGGAACGTGTTTGCCTTGCAGCTGAAGGATTTGGTAACAGACATTGTTTTTTGGAAAACATTGCAGACAAGGTATTTAATGAAACAATCAAAACTTGAAAATCACTTGAAATTATATTTTTATTTATTTTGCAGAATATTCCTCCAGATTTATCTCAATGCGTTTTTGTTATCGAACAAGCTTTATCCGTTCGAGCTTTACAAGAATTAGTTACCGCAGCTAGTTCTGAAGAAGTAAGATTATAAATTAGATTTTTTTTTATCTTACATTATTTATTTTATTTAGGGAAAAGGTAATACTGGTTCTGGCCATAGAACATTATTGTATGGTAATGCCATCTTGTTACGCCATCAAAATAGTGATATGGTAAAAAATATTTCATTTTTAAAACTGAGTTTGATGTTTTATAATTTATTAACATATTTTTATTTTTACTCAATAGTATTTGGCTTGTCTTTCAACAAGTTCATCTAACGATAAACTATCTTTTGATGTTGGTTTGCAAGAACATTCGCAAGGTGAAGCATGTTGGTGGACCGTTCATCCTGCTTCTAAACAAAGATCAGAGGGAGAAAAAGTGCGAGTTGGAGATGACTTGATTTTGGTTTCAGTAGCTACTGAAAGATATCTTGTAAATAAAATTAATTTATTGTAGACTTCATATTATATAATAATAATTTATTTTTGAAAGCATACCGCTAAAGAAAATGAGCTATCCGTAGTTAATGCTTCATTTCACGTGACCCATTGGTCAGTACAACCATATGGTACTGGAATTAGCCGAATGAAATACGTAGGTTATGTATTTGGAGGGGATGTGCTAAGGTTTTTTCACGGTGGTGATGAATGTCTTACTATACCATCCACTTGGAATGCTGATATTCCTGGACAAAAGTAATATAAAGTTTCTATTATTAAAAATTAAATTAAAATATTTTTATAAGTTTAAAATGTTTACAAACAGCATAGTTATATATGAAGGCGGTAGCGTAATGAGTCAGGCGAGATCGTTATGGCGATTAGAATTAGCCAGAACTAAGTGGGCGGGTGGATTTATCAACTGGTGTCATCCAATGCGTATCAGACATTTAACTACGGGTAGATATTTAGGTGTAAATGAAAATAATGAATTATTCTTAGTATGCAGGTAAATACAATATTTAATAAAATAGATGTACTAAATTTAAAATTGTGAAATTTCGCATCATTAGAGAGGAAGCAACAACTGCTTCTTCAGCATTTTTCTTAAGACAAGAAAAAGATGATCAAAAAATTATACTTGAAGACAAAGATCTAGAAGTCATTGGTGCACCTATAATTAAGTATGGTGATAGCACAGTATTGGTACAGCATTCTGATACTGGTTTGTGGTTAACCTATAAGGTAACTGACATATTTATTCTAAATTTTTATCCAATTTAAATCTATACCTGTGTAAAATTTAGTCATATGAAACCAAAAAGAAAGGTGTGGGTAAAGTGGAAGAAAAGCAAGCTGTGCTGCACGAAGAAGGAAAAATGGATGACGGGTTAGACTTTAGTAGATCCCAAGAGGAAGAGTCTAAAACAGCTAGGGTTATTCGAAAATGTTCATCATTATTCACACAATTTATTTCGTAAGTTGCTAATATTGATTATTTTGTAATTTGAAATTAAATTTATTTTACATTTATAGGGGATTAGAAAATCTCCAAACTAATGGGCGATCATCAATGTTTTGCTCATTCGTAAATCTCAACGAAATGGTGATGTGTTTAGAAGATTTAATTAATTACTTCGCTCAACCAGAAGAAGACATGGGTAAATGTTTATTTTCAAAATATTAAAGTTATCATTTTTAATAGTTAAGTCAATTGTTTATGATTTAGTATGTGTTGTAGTGAATTTTGTTGGAAAATTATTAACGTGTAAACATTATTAATCTTTATAGAACATGAAGAAAAGCAAAACAGGTTTAGAGCATTAAGAAATAGACAAGATTTATTTCAAGAGGAAGGCATACTAAATTTAATTCTAGAAGCTATCGATAAAGTAAATGTAATAACTTCACAAGGTTTTATGGTTAATTTAGCTGGAGATGAATCTGGACAAAACTGGGAGGTTATTTCCGGCTACTTATATCAACTTTTGGGTAAGAAACTTTACTTCGTTTGTGGGTCTTATTAATTGAACATTTTATTCGGGAATATTAATATCCTTTTCGTAATTATAATGATACTTATCAGTTTTACATCTTTCTATTTCCCGAACTTAACATGCTACAGAGGATGGTGGCCCTCTTACACATATAAGGGAGTTAAAAATTATTCTTGGCTAGGCTAATGATGGACAGAACGAGTATTATAACTGGCTTTCACAAGAGACCAGTCACCGTTAATGAGAAAATCACAAGACAAACAATGATGACATCCTATAAATCAAACCCGAGATCCCATGCTCCGAAACATACCTACTAGGCCAGGCCGTCCTAATAATATCCTTTTCATAATTAATATTATAAATCATAACTATTATTATAATAACATTTTTATTTATAATTTCCTGAAGTATATTATTTTAATTTAAATACTTATATAATTCACTGATATATTTTTATTAATAATTCTTTTTTTTATCATAGCTGCTATTATTAAAGGAAATCACACTAATTGTGCTCAGTTTGCTAATACAAATCGATTAAACTGGTTGTTCAGTCGATTAGGATCACAGGCTTCAAGCGAAGGTACTGGTATGTTGGACGTATTACATTGTGTTCTTATTGATTCCCCCGAAGCTTTGAATATGATGAAGGTAATGCGATTTTTGTATTGAACAAAGTTCTACAAAAACAAAGTTTAATTACACTTTAAAATTGTTTAAAATAATAGGATGAACATATTAAAGTAATTATTTCTCTATTGGAAAAGCATGGTCGCGATCCTAAAGTTTTGGATGTTTTATGTTCATTATGTGTCGGTAATGGTGTAGCTGTAAGGAGCTCACAAAATAATATTTGTGATTTCTTGTTACCAGGAAAAAATTTACTTCTTCAAACTCAACTTGTTGATCATGTAGCAAGGTATTAATCGTTCATACTTCTTATTTTATTTCGTTATTAATGAATAAAATCGATTATTGCTTTTAAATTTACAGTGTTCGACCAAACATTTTTGTTGGATATGTTAGTGGGTCAGCTATTTACCGTAAATGGTATTTTGAGGTTGCCATTGATCATGTAGAGCAAACTACACATCTAAGCCCCCATATTAGGATTGGCTGGGCAAATACAGCTGGGTAAATTTTTGTATGCGATTATTGCTTAACTCAATAATATTACAATTTGTCCCATTCAATATCTTAAAAAGTATATAATAAGTATATAAGTATATTATATACTAGAAATTAAAAAAAAGTAAATTTCTTTATCTTCATTACTTTTACTAGATCATGCCTAAAAATTACCATNGAAATTAAACATTTTTACTTTTTAAAAGCTTATAGTATATTATATACTAGAAATTAAAAAAAAGTAAATTTCTTTATCTTCATTACTTTTACTAGATCATGCCTAAAAATTACCATCAATTTTGAAAAATTATTTTAAAAAATATTTACATTTTACAGTAATGGTATATTTAGGCGGAAGCACTATGGCTGAAAATACTTGGTAATAAAAATAATCTTTAACTTGTCTCAATCCTAGACTTTATTTTAAAAAGGTTATAACTTCCAAAAAAGTTTTTTCGTTCGTAAGTTATATCGACTAATTATTCTTTATTTAGATCATTTTTTAATTTGTAAACCAGTTATATATGCATATCAATCAAAAACAGAGGGGTCACGGCACAGTGTGGACGTGGCACCGGGATACCGGGAAAATCCCGATGGGCCCCCCAAAAATTATGGTATATGGGCCCCTTGATACTACGGCAAATCAGTTAGTAAAAGCCAACTGCCTAAATTTTAATAATTTTTTTTTTTTTACAAAAATCCTCAATTTCCTTCCTAACAAGCAAAAAAAAAAAAGTTATCAAAAATTGTTATGTAGCGCCGTGTCACTGATGACTACTCTGCTCGACCACACAGCTCGCATATCTTAATACCGCCACTTAGTCCTCACGGACATGTTGGAATGACCCGAAGGTCTTATGAGTTCTCTTGCATTTTGGATAAGTTAAATACTATTTTAAGAGCATAAAATTATCAGATTTATTTATGTAAATCGATAAAAATATCTGATTATCAAATATGTCGTCTGCTTTTAATTCGCGGAAGTCGTCAGAACGTGTTTGACGGCTGATGTGTCCGAATTGATTATATTTACGATTATTATGATAAAAATTAACGACCGATCCGTGTGTTGCCCATCGTCTGTATTGTATCATAAAAATCAATAAATAGCATATCGATATTTCTCAATTTGCGATATCCTTTTATCATGATTTTATATTTATTAATGATTTCAAAAAAATATTTTTGTTTGTTTGAAATTTTTATTTGAAATCTTTATCATTTTCATTTTACTCGTCAATGGTAAATATCGTTATTGCGTCTTATGAGTTTTGGTAACTGCTTTATTGTTTGGTGAGTACTTAAAAATTATACTAATATACATTATACTATAATTTATGAGTAAAAAAATATATTAAACATTAACATTGTTGTTTGTAAAACATTAAATGACACGTATGACACCATGTCTGAATTGAGCCAGGGAGCTACCGAGAAATTATTTATAATTATGTCTAAGTGAAACAATTATTATTTTATTTAATTTATTCGCGCCAAACAGCAATTTACATAATGTTTACAACTAAGTGATTTAATTAATTAAAGATTAAATATATAATAATAAAGTAATTAGTGATATAACAGAGGGGTGCTAGTAAAAATGTGCTAATGGCGTTGATTGACACTACGAAGCATACAGTATAGCGAATTATTATGACTATAAGAGATGGATTGAGTAGGAATATGAATAAATGTACGATTCCTTGAGGGGTAGGTCAGATCGCGAATAATGAATTCTTCTACTAAAAAGTGATCACGAAAGAATAATTACGTTTTTTTCTTTGACTAGGATGTAAATAAAATAAGAGATGAGTACAACAGATTTTGTCGTATGGGCTGACTCTTTGTTAAGGGCTGAAACTTAAAATCTTGGTAGGCTGAAAAGTCTCGATCCGACTCTTTATGACATGTATACTAATTATAATTAGGAGTGCATACAATAATTACGTAAATCTATAACCATAGCGTATAAAATTATGTTTACTTATTCTTGCCTAGCAACAAATAAAAAATTAAAATTATACTGCACATATATTACAATGAAAAGAACATCCGCATTAATCAATATTTATTAAGCTATGTGTAAAATAAGATATTTTTCCGTTTTTTCGATTTTACTAAAAGTTTTTAAAAGTTTTCATGGAGAACCCCATTTGTAATTTACCCATATTATGTAAAGTTTTCTTACCTTTCTAAACATATATTAGAGAACTTCTGAAATTTTGGTAACACGAAAAAAGCAATTTTTTTGATTATAAAAACTCAATTTTAATGACTGTAATGCGAAAAAAATCAATATTATTTTTAGAAAAGTCAGATAATTTAACAAAAGCAACTTATTTTTCTATTGGTTTTTATGGCTGAAGTTAATATTAAAACGATAGCACATCTTTTTTTTCCGGGACACGAGAAGAATGTCTTTAACTAGATACGATTAGTGGTCTTTNTTAATACTTTCCCCTTTTCCGGGACACGAGAAGAATGTCTTTAACTAGATACGATTAGTGGTCTTTTTACGTATAGTTCATCAAAATCGGTCAAGTCTAAGCTGAGAAAAGTAGGTGGCAGATAAAAAAAACACGTCATGGTAAAATAGTACTTTCTCAGCTTCGCATCGAAGCTAAAATTTAAAAAAAAATTGTGTTTAGAAAAAAAGTAAAAATTATTTTTAAATAGTATTTAAAAAAATCCAAAAAAAAAATTGAGAATATTCTTTTTGTTGTAATAGACAAACATCAAGTAGTGTAATTTTAAAAATAACCTAGGGAGGCCGTTTTAAACATAATACTTCCAAACAAAATAATTTTTTACTAAGTTACGTTTTTTTTTATAAAAATTATCAAGTTTTGGAAACGAATAATACTACAATATTTACTAACCTGAAAATCATATTTTTAATTTTTTAATTAGAGTACAATTAATTTTGTATTTATTAGGCTAATTAATAATGGAAAAGGATAACATCGCCCAAAATAAAAAATATCATAAGAGCGGTTCTTTAAAACGAAAAGATCATAACAAGAAATGTCTTGAGGAGATAGCAAATAAATCTAAAAAAATGACAAATTATTTTTTAACTGCTTCGCAAGATAACCCCAATTTAGAGCCGATAAAGATACCTCGTAAAAATCATACACTCGGGAATTATGATATTTCTGTGCCACATTCATCTAGTTCTAAAATTCATTCGGACAATTCTGAGGTTAAAATTGATTTGCGTGATGACGAAAATATTGACCTTCAAATCACTAATTCTGAAGTCAAAATTGATTTATGTGATAACACAGATATTGACCTTCTAGTCAAAAATAATTTAAATATAAAGATTGACGATAAAACAAATTTTAATTATTTTTTAAAGCCCAAGGGTAAACAAAATATTAAATNAATTTTTTAAAGCCCAAGAGTAAACAAAATATTAAATATTTTTTTTCGTTTCATCCAAATCACCCAGAGAAAATGATGGATGACTCTCCTTTACCATTTAATACAACTAAAGCTTATTATGAAATTATTCCAGGATCACAGACAAAAATCAAAAGAAATTGGTTATCCTATAGTCATGAACATAACTCTTTATTTTGTTCAATATGTTTAGTATACTGCTCTAAATCATCAGCTTTTACTAGCGATAGTGGATTTAGCAGATGGATTCATGTTTATGAGCGTATTAAAGATCACGAAGAGTCAAAAAACCATAGAGAAGCGTTAAAATGTTTCTTGGCTGATCAATGTGGTAAAAGTGTTGATGAATTAATAGAAAGAGTGCAGTGGGTTCAGAGGGAAAATGAAGTGATGAAGAGAAGAAGAGTAGCTCAAATAATTATTGATATTGTTAAAGTAATTGGAAAACAAGGATTACCTTTCAGAGGATTCAGATATGAGTCTGCTTACGATTTAAAAAATATATCAGTAAATCATGGGAATTTTTTGGAAATAGTATTATTGATAGCAAAGTCGAATGTAGAATTAAGTGATCATATTACTAAGGCAATAGTTGAAAGTGAAAAGAAGTTGAAAAGAGGTAAATCTGGTAGAGGAAATTTGTTTACTTTTTTAAGTCACAAGACTGTAACAAATGAAATTCAAACTATTGGCGAATTATTGTTGTCTAAGATATCTAAAGAAGTTAATGTGGCTAACAACTATTCCATTACAATGGATACAACTATGGATGTTTCAACTCATGATCAATGTGTAATTGTTTTGCGATATTTGAAAGAGAATGTCGAAAATGAAAAATCTTCAGTAGAAATTAAGGAAAGAGTTATAGCTTTGAAAAAAGTAATTTCCTCTTCAGGACAAGGCTTATTTGATTTGTTAAAATCAACTTTAATTTCTAAAAATATTAGATTAGATAAATGTATTGCAGACGCCTTTGATGGAGCCGCTAATATGAATGGAGAGTACAATGGAGTCCAGGCAAAACTTAAAGAACTGCTTCCAAGGCACATTCATACATGGTGCTATGCTCACGTATTGAATCTTGTACTGCTTCAAACAACTTCGAGTACGGTTGTAGTAATCTCTTTTTTCGGTCTTCTGCAAGAATTATTTGTTTTTTTTTAAAGAATCTTATAAAAGGCTCAATGTTTATGAATGTCAAAGTAATTCTGGCCGTCAATCACATTTGATAAATATAGGTGTAACTAGATGGAGGTCTAAAAATGATGCCCTCATAAAAATATTTGGTCGTATTAGTATGTGGACAAATGAAGACGAAAATGAAGAAAGAAAAAAACTGACTTATGTGTCAATTGTTTTAGCACTTTATGAAATATCTTTTTCTAATAGTTTTGCAGCTGGTGTAAGAAGTACAGCACGAAGTTTACTAAATCGACTCACGAGTTATGAAACAACATTAACAGCTATGATGTTTCTACAAATATTTAAGTTCACTACTGCTCTGTCTGATTATTTACAAACATCTAGTTTTGATTATATACAAGCCTGGCGAAAAATTGAAGTAACTATAAAGTCATTAAAAGAAAATCAAATAGAATTTTCATCGATAAGTGCAGCTGCAAAAGAATTTTCAATATTTACATCCGAAGTTATATGGAAACACGAAACAGAAATTGATATTGAGTTAGAATTACCTCAAAAAAGAAGAATAAACATTCCACGACGTTTTGAAGATAACCCCAACATTGACCCGGAAATTGGAGCTTCTCCAGAAAAAATTTATGAAATAAAAACTTTTAGTGTCGTTATGGATACTACTATTGCTTGTTTAGAGAAGAGATTTTCTGGTAGTAATGAGTTGGATGGTGATTTTGAACTATTTGACCCAAGGCGATTTATAAATATCAGATAAAATGGAATACATTCACATGGGGCTTAAACAAGATTTGTGAACTATTACCACATATTGATAAGCATGCATTAAAAGAACAATTACTGTCATTTGCCGAAATCTGGCCTAAAATTTCAAAAACAAATATCAATACGTCATTGATATTTGTTTTTCGTCGTCTACGTCAGACGATATATATAATCAAACAATACAAGATGAATCGGACTTTGAAGATTATATGCAAAATGAAAACATTGAAGAAAAATGTACAAATATAAGAAAATGTAACTCGTGTTTATTGTGCGTGACGAACATAATTTATGAGTTTAATATGTATTCTTTGGAATATAAAGAACTCTTCGACGTATACAAATTTTTGTTGACTATTCCTTTAACTCAAACAACCTGTGAGAGATCATTCTCCAAACTGAAATTGATTAAGACGCGATTGAGAAGCACATTAACTCAACCAAATTTAGAGTCAATATTCATCATGAATTGCGAACGTGAATTAGTAGATGAAATAACTAATGACGAAATAATAGATTTCATGTGTGAGAAAAGTTTAGAAATGTTTAGATTATTAAAAATTTAACTGAATATATTTGTTAATTTTGTAGTTTTACATTCAGATTCACATTTTCAAAAACTACATATTATTTTACAATACGTTGCTGAATATTTTGTAAACTTAACTTCTGTATTAGTTTAAAGTATTTAAAATAATTTCACTATTGTTCAATTTAACTAATTTATTAAGATTAAATCAGCCATTAAGTTAAAAGTTTGTTTATAGCATTTATAGCGCAAAGGGAGACATTAATACGTATAACTTAAAAAATATATATTATTTTAACTTAAAATTTATGGTAAAGATTTTAAACAAAAATAAAGAATTTCATTAATACTGATGCTAGACTATTTAATCAAAATATTCCCTAAAAAATACACTACTTAAGTCACCATTTTTGGCCTAAATTTTATTAAAGACTTTTTTTTTTTGCTCAACCAGTACAAAAAATCGGGTGGACTCCCAGGAGCTTTCCCGCGAAAGTTTTGCCTATGGGCCCCTTTAACTTGGTTTCCCGGTAAGAAAATTGGTCCCAGTCCGCGCCTGTCTGACAGTGATTAAAATCAATCTATTAATTGAAATTTTTTCAATTATTGAAAGTAATGTCTTCGACTAGATACAATTTGTGATCTTTTAACGTATCTTTGAAAGAAATCGGTTCGGTGAGAGCTGAGAAAAAGTGATAATAGATACAAAAAATAAAAAAAACACATCATAATAAAATTAATATCTTCTCAGCTTCACATCAAAGCTAAAAGCAGTACAGTGTGGTCGCAGTATGGACGTGACATAGTTGGAACAAATACAGATGACATATAACTATGATTAAAATTACTGTCATAAAAAACGCTTCTATGAAAATTTATAAACAGTGTTTAATTTTTAAAAGAGATTATTGGATATTTTCTAAAACAAGTAAACTCTTATTTTGTTAACTACACTTTAAGAAATTATTCAAAAATTTTCATACATCGGATAACACTTTTAATATACATGTTACTTTTACAGACAAGTATTATATTTTAGACATAAAATATCGAAAATACATACACAAATATAACATTTTTATCAATGTTTCAACAAAATTTTCTTTTACATATACTGTATGCGTTAAAATCTTTCAATACATATATGTAAAAAATATTTTAACATTTTTTAGGTGTATACTTATTATAGTAATTAAATTTAGTATGAAATTGGTATTCAATAATTTATTACTTTAATATTTACGAAGAAATTATAAATAATTATAACTATAAATACGCGATTGTAGAAAAAAATAAAAGAAAGTTAACATTCTTAATACGATTACTCTGACGTTATTCAATTATTATTTTAGTTATAAAATTTTAATTTAATTTATCACTGGTTGCAAGAACTGGTAAAAAAAAATGTTTAATAAGACAGCCCTTTTCTTTATAATATACTTATTGGATTTACAAAGCTACAACAATTTTCCTTGAAAATATTTATGACTCATACTTAAACGTTTTTACCAGTAATTATATAAGATAAGATTTGGTACATATAAAATAGCATATATAATTAAAAAACAAATTAAACACAAAAAATGGTTAAATATTACACAAAATAAAATTTTGTTTAACATCGGGAGACGTTTATATTTAAAAGACAAGTTGTTTTTTACCCTTATGTAGCATATAATAAAAGCTTTACTTTAACATATTTTTAAATTACGTATTATTTCTGGAACATTTCAAAAAATTAAGCTGAAAAAGTTAACTTTTTCATGCTAAATTTGCTATTTTGAATTCCTTTGGTGGCATGTGTTCAAAAAAATTATGTCAAAATACCTAAGGTTTCTATATAAAAAAAATTATGACTCCATTTTTCAAAAAGTTATGACAGTTTTAAGTAAAAAAGAGTTTGAAAAATATTAATTTACCAATTTAAAAAATCGTAATAATTTGGGCTTTCCCCAGTTATAGTGAACGATTTATGATCTTTTGATGTATCATTTGGTAAAATTTGTCAAGTTAGAGCTGAGAAAAAAAGGTGACATGCACAAAAAAAAATACAGCATAGTAAAATAAGTTTAATGCTTCGCATTGAAGCTAAAAAATGTATATTATTTAAAGAGTATGAAAAAATATGCAATTTTTTCTAGAACGAATTATATTATGAACTTTTATATGACTAAATTGTATATTTTCTTGTATTGGTGATTATTTTGTATGAGACATAGTTAAACGATGTCTCGTACTTATTAAACTATTATATTAAATAGTTTATTTAATTAACTATTACATTAAACAATATTAAATTTAATTTTCTTAAGAAAATTAGCTATTTCTTCATAGCTTTCACATATAATTATTTGAAAATATAATTAATTTTTGGTACGATTTTAGATATGTACCATATCCTGGCGGAGGCGAAAAATGGGGTGGTAATGGAGTAGGAGACGATTTATACTCTTTTGGATTCGATGGCGTTCATTTATGGACAGGTCAGTTTATATAAATTAAAAATACTGTTTTCAGTTATTATACGAGATTGTTAAAAATATTTACAATTAGGAGGGTGCAAATCTGAAGCAATGCCAGGAGCTCAATCTCCTTTTATCAAGAAATCCGATTTAATTGGGTGTGCTCTGGACTTAACAATTCCCATCATCACATTTACTTTAAATGGTCAACTTGTTCAAGGCGCATTTAGAGATTTTAACTTGGATGGCATGTTTTTTCCTGTCATAAGTTGTTCCTCTAAAATTAGGTAAATTACTCGAAAAACAATAGTTTACTTAAATAAAGCTGTCAATATTTAATAGTTGTCGATTCTTGCTCGGTGGTGACCATGGTCGACTTAAATTTACTCCTCCTGATGAATTCTCTCCTCTTTTTGAAAGCTTATTACCACAACAAATTTTAACAATTGATCCATGCTTTTATTTTGGAAACCTTAATAAATGCGTTTTAACTGGACCATGGTATGTAGAAGATGACACAGCTTTTGTTCCAAATCCAGTGGATACGTCAATGGTATGAAAATATCTATATTTTCATTCTAAAATTTAAGTGAAAAACAATTTGGTTTCACAGATAACTCTACCCAGCTATATAGAAAATATCAAAGATAGATTAGCAGAGAACATACACGAGATGTGGGCAATGAATAAAATTGAAACTGGCTGGCAGTTTGGAGAAATACGAAATGATTCTAGAAAATTCCACCCTTGTTTGACCCAATTTAACAAGCTTCCAGCAGCGGAAAAACGATATGATACTCAACTAGCTGTACAAACGCTTAAGTATGTATGATAATTTTAATTTAGGAACTATTTAAATATAACAAAATTTACCATTATATAGGACCATAATTGCTTTGGGCTACTACATAAGTACAGATAATCCACCTTCTCGTATCAAAACTCTTCGACTACCGAGTGAACCGTTTATGCAATCCAATGGCTACAAACCCGCTCCTTTAGATCTATCTGCTATAGCACTTTCTGGTAAAATGGAAGAGCTTATTGACCAATTAGCTGAGAACACCCATAATCTTTGGGCCAAAGAGAGAATACAACAAGGCTGGACTTACGGTTTAAATGAAGTATTTATTTATTTTTGGACATTTTAACAAATAGCACGTTTGGTTATATAAACAAGCATTATATATATATATATTTGAATTTATTCAGAAAATCAAATTTAAGAATTATTAAAATATATATTATACTAAGCTTCGGCTAGCTGGTGCTTCGCTTCTGATCTGAGGCCTTTCATTCCGTTCTTTAGGGTATATTATAAATTACGGTAGGAGTACACTGTTACGTCAGACACGATAAGTGTTTTTTATAAAAAGTATTACTTCCGTATTAGTATTCAAAAAAATGTTGTTAAAATTATAGTAAACATTTAATTAGTAATATCACTAAAATTTTAACAGGAATAACAGTAAAATTTATTAAGTATACTTTTGAAAATTAGTGTCTCGGCATCACAATAATATAATAAAATTTCAATTTTAACACTATTTTTAATGTCAAAAATATTATTAAATATAGTCAATTTTAATTTGTTTGATGTATTAGAGTACAATACGTGAATACAAATTTACATTACCATCTAAAAATTATTAGATGCTAATTAAAGTTAAAAAAAAAAAGAATATAACATTGTTTATTGTATATCATTGCAATATATGATGTTAAATCCAGATGTATAAGCATTTCACGTTTCTTGTTTTCACAAATAATTTTTGAAGAACAAAGTAATCTAGTTTTTTTATTATAAAAAAAATTTGAAAATCGGAGATCTGCAAGTAATTTTTTAAACTCTGACAAAATGTTTAATGTTTTGTTGTATAATAAGATAATAAAACAAGGAAAAATTAACCAAAATTGAAAAAATGAGCTTAATGAAATTAAATTTTTAACATTTTTTAAATAAAAAACAAGGCCATATTACTCTGCAAAAATAATTCACTAAAATTAAAAAAAATTTGTAACACTCCTCAGGCATTTAAAAATGTCAGACTTTTTTTTTGCTCTTTGATATCAGCTTTTATCTACTCAAGTTAAAAAATTTTTACTAAACTTTTCCATAGATATTCGAGAGCTACCCTAATTGAAAATAAATTTTTAGGGTATTTTTTTTTAATTCCAATATAAATCTAATATTCTATGAGTTGAATAACTGAAAAAATTTTAACTTCATCCTCGCGTACTCGTAACACATACTGTTGTTTTTTCAATTCTCTCATACATCTCGGCCATCTTAATGTTACGAGCAGTGGATAAATATTCAAGCGCACTGCAATTTTGTATGTATTTTATATTATGTTATCAGCTAACATAAATAACAGTACTTTTTAGTAATACATTTTTCTCGTGCATACCTGCGAATAATATTGTACTAAATAATAACTAGTTTGTTATTATTTAGTATAATAATTGTGAATTCGCTTTATTTTAAATATATATTTCATTGATATTATTATTAAATTACTCTTATTATAATTTATTCAAATAACTAATTAACAACATTTCAAGTATGAATATAAAACTAAGTTTAAAGTACTGATACTGTAACATCATTGACCTCAACATTTAAAGTACAATTAGTTCATTTAAGCATGATATAAAAATGAAATTCTAGAACCAACATCAATCATTAACAATGATTAGAAATAAGAAAATTTTATACTCGTTTTTTTTTTAATTTTCATTAATATCTAATTATAACATGAAAATTTCTAGGTATCTATTAAATTGTATCCAAAACATCAATACAAATTTAAAAATAATTTACATATATATTTACCTACAACTTCATTACATATTTTAGTTTCGATGAGAAGCTTAGAAGGTATTTATTAATAAAGTTTATATAAAAGATTGTGTTAAAATTAAAATATCATTAAATTATCGTATAGATCTCAGTCAACCTTATACTCAATACATTTTACTATTTACTCTCTTTGAAAATCATTTTAAAGATTATATTTGTTTTATATTGATTTTAATGTAATACTCTTTGTACAAAACACATATCGTGCCCGATATAGGCTTTTCGGGTCTGAAATAGAGTCTAACATATATTAAACTACTTATTAATGCTATAAATATTATTTAAAATTGAAAATATGAAATTTAAATTGAAATAGAACAAGATGACCTAATTTATATTGCCCAATTAAAATATATATAGATTATATTAATGATAAATGAATTTTAAGGACATGCAAATGTTACGCAGCCCTCATTTGGTACCATATAGTAAAGTTGACGATGCTATAAAAAAAGCAAATAGGTATGAGTCGTCTCTTTGATTTATATTTTTCAAGTTAACATATATGTATTTGTATATCATAGAGATACAGCTAGTGAAACTGTTCGAACGTTATTGGTATATGGCTATAACTTAGATCCACCTACAGGAGAAACAAACGAAGGTAAAATTTAATTGAGGATTAAATAAAATTACCTGTAACATCATTTTTTTCGAATTTCACTATTCTATTTTCTGTTTGAAAATAATTTATTTAACGGTTTGGTATATATACTAAGTTTATTCGTCAACTATAAAAACTAATATCGTAAAATTAAAAACTCGTATGTACAGAGTTATACTAAAATTATTTAATTTAATTGTCTTTTAAATAATTTCTCAACAAATGGTGATAGCCGGTTATTGCACTGGGTCATTTAATTTAAGTTGATTGTGTTTAAAAATTAAGAAAAAGGGATTCCATTGTTCTTATTTTCCATAAAAAATTACCTATTTCTTTATTTATTGAAAACCTCATCAAACAGCTACTTTTTTAATTACCATTTTAATAAAAATACTATTTTTACATTTAGCAACTCTCATGACGGAAGAAATAGTTAACAGATATTTAACATTCAGAACATATCGTGCAGAAAAAACATATGCCGTTTCCAGTGGTAAATGGTAAGTTATTTCTTTATTTATAATCCTTAGATAATTTATTTGATGGCTATAATTATATATCTGTATTATTTAGGTATTTTGAATTTGAAATTCTAACTAATGGACCTATGAGAGTTGGCTGGGCGAAATTTGATTGTATTCCTGGCTATCAAATTGGCAGTGATGAGAATTCTTGGGCATTTGATGGCTATAATGTAAATATTCTATTCACTTGTATTTAATTTTTTGAAGTATATTAAAAATAATTTCTGATAATGGCCTGTTTTTACTACTGTAATCTGAATTTAATGAAATATTTTACACCCGATTTATGTGCTCTATCATTATTTGATAGAGTTTATGCTATAAAATTATGAACGATATTTTGATGATATTACATGTAATGTCACCAGCATTTAAAAGAAATTTCATTCTTATATTATGTTTATGCATATTTATTTTAAATATTTATTAAACATATGAATATATGTCTCTGTAGATAAGGGATAAATATTCTTCCACGGCTTCTCTGCCAGTCATAAAAGTTGACTAATGAGGTTGCGTCAGGTTGATGACCTTTAAAAAGTATGAGGAGTCCTAAACAAAACTTATGCAGATTCTCCTATCTCGGATGTACGCGGGGGCAAAAGGTGAGAGGAAAAGGCTGACCTCAAGTAGTTGGGATTAAGGCAAGGAAAAAAAAGAAGATTGAACTTTTGAATATCAAATTTCAATTTTATATAAATATATAGATATTTTTTTATTAATCCTTAAAAATGGTTAAACAAATTGGTTTAATTGACTACTAGATAATTATTTAATTTAAAAAAATGATTTTCATATATAGGGTGGCCCACCACTCACTGACAACTTAAATAACTTTTGATCCAGTTAATGTTTTTAGCTGATTTTTTTTTTAAATAATAGTTATACGTTAGGTCTATAGCTATATCGCAATAATTAATTTTTTTACATTTTATTAAAAAAATTAACTATTTTTAAATTTTAAATAAAATGTAAAAAAAAAATCTAAGATAGCTGTTTTGTAGAGTTGAATTTAAGAAAAATTCTAGTAAAAAAATATCTTATTAATATTCAGTAATAAATATTCTGTAGCGTTTTGAAGTTTGTAAAAATTTGAATTTTCATGTATTATTTTACGGTATTAAACATTGATATACGTATTGAGAAAAGGACAGAAGAAAACGCTATCTTTTCAATATACTTTTGAATGAGAGTGATAAGTAATAATTGCCTTATCTAATTTCTTATCATGGTATTAATGCCAAGGTTGTAATATATACATATTATCATCTTTTGTATACACAGTAATCATGAAAAGATAGCGTTTTCTTCTGTCCTTTTCTCAATACGTATATCAATGTTTAATACCGTAAAATAATACATGAAAATTCAAATTTTCACAAACTTCAAAACGCTACAGAATATTTACTACTGAATATTAATAAGATATTTTTTTACTAAAATTTTTCTTAAATTCTACTCTACAAAACAGCTATCTTAGATTTTTTTTTTACATTTTATTTAAAATTTAAAAATAATTAATATTTTTAATAAAATGTAAAAAAATTAATTATTGAGATATAGCTATAGACCTAACGTATAACTATTATTAAAAAAAAAAATCAGCTAAAAATATTAACTGGATCAAAAGTTATTTAAGTTGTCAGTGAGTGGTGGGCCACCTTGTATTCTTTATATTACAAAAATTAAAATTTTTTTTTATACTGCATCAAATTAACTTTAAAATTTACTATGATAGGAAGAAAAAATATACATGGGAACTGCAGAATCATTTGGACGGCAATGGCAAGTTGGAGATATAGTCGGAGTATTTTTGGATTTAATGGACCACACAATAAGCTTTTCCTTAAATGGAGAATTAATGATGGATACTTTAGGTGGTGAAACAACATTTTCTGAAGTTCAAGGTGAAGGTTTCGTGCCTGCCTTTACACTAGGATTAGGACAAAAAGCAAAACTTACTTTTGGCCAAGATGTTAACTCCCTAAAATTTTTCACAACTTGTGGGCTTCAAGAAGGTTATGAACCGTTTTGTGTGTAAGATAACTTTTTAAAAGCTTGAACATATTTCTAATCTGACTGAGTAACATTTTAAATATATTTTAAGAAATATGAAGCGACCAGTTACTTATTGGTATACTAAGGACCAACCAATTTTTGAAAATACAGATGATTTCCCATCAGTTATTGATGTTACTAGGATACCTGCTGGCTCAGATACACCACCTTGCTTAAAAATTAGTCACAATACATTTGAAACAATGGAAAAAGCTAATTGGGAATTTTTACGACTTTCATTACCTGTTATTTGTCTTCCCACTTTCATCGAGTAATATATTACAGTTTAAACATTTTCAAAATTATAAATACTATATGCTTAAATTTATTTAGCGAGCAAGAAAAACAAAGACGTTGGCAGGAAATAAGAATAAGACAACACCGACTTCTTTCGCAATCTGAACATGCTACACCCGCTCATATTGAACAAATTATGAAGTCCGGTTTTTCGATGAGTGATATTAAAGGTATATAAAATAATAAAAACCGTAGCATAGTGGGATCGCGACACAGTATGGATGTGGCATAATTGGGACATGTATAGATGATATCTGATAGCGATTAAAATCACTATCATAAAAAAATATTTAAATAAAAAATATACTAAAAAATACCCAGCTTAGTGGGGCCACAGCACAGTATAACTGTGACTTCACTGTGTGGCATAGTTGGGTCCAGTATAGATTTAATCTGACAGTGATTAAAACCACTGTCATAAAAAACGTTTCGATGCAAATCTGTAGATGGTTTATTGTAGTGTTTTATTCTAAGAAATTGGTGGATAATTACAAAAGCAAAATGAACTCCTATTTTCTTATTTATAACATGATAATTCTTAAAGTAATTCTTAGATTCAAAAAAATAATTTATTATCATAATCAACGTGGTAAAAATGGTACCAGTATAGATTTAATCTGACAGTGATTAAAATCATTATCATAAGAAACGCTTCGATGCAAATCTGTAGATAGTGTTTAATTTTAAAAAATTGATGGATAATTGNGATAGTGTTTAATTTTAAGAAATTGGTGGATAATTACAAAAGCAAATATTCTACAATTGAAATATGCAGAACTGAATTAATTAAAAAAATTTACTTTAACTAAAAAAACAAATAAAAAAAAAATTATTTCAAAGATCTACTCAATTGAGTGTATTATAAAATTTAATTATAATTGTAAAAATCTATTGTTAAATTGAGGTGAAACTAAAAATATTTTTTTTTAGATGATTTATATATACTTAATTACTTACAGAGTAATAATAATTTAAACATTTATTTTTTTTTTTTGTTATCTTTAGTTACACATTATTTTTGAATTATTAACTAAGTAATACTTTTTAAGTTCTACCCTTATGCCTGATAATATGTTCAACTAAACACGCATTGTAATCATTTGACATATCGTTGAAAAAGTATGTTAAGTGAAGGTTGGAAAAATAAATCGCAGCCACAAAAAAAACACATAGTAAAATATTATTAATATGAATAAGAAACATATTTTCATGAGGGGAGACGACAGTGTTGAGAATCTTGATATTTATCGAAGTTAATGAATCTAAATGAGATAAAAACCAAATGATTTGAACATTTTTTCTAACTTAAAAAAAGTACAAAATGCCACATGCAGATTCGAACTTGGTACCCTAAGCGTAAAAGTCATATGTATTACCGATTTGGCAACTGTCCGTCGCTTTCGACGGGTTATAAAATTGGCAATTTAAGCTAATTGAAATTTTAAAGTTACTTTTTCGATTTAAAGTAATCAAAAATTTACCTAAAAAATCTATCTTATTCCTAACACAAATCTACAATGCAATGCTCAGATTATCTTATTTCCCTATTCTCTGGAAATACTCTACTATAATTCTCATATTAAAACCCAAAAAGCCCCCGGACTCCCCGACTTCTTATAGACCAATCAGTCTTCTCCCAATACTTTCAAAGTTATTCGAGANTAGTCTTCTCCCAATACTTTCGAAGTTATTCGAGAAACTCCTACTAAAACGTATCATACCCATTGTCGACACTGCAAATATTTTACCTAACCCTCAATTTGGCTTCCGCAACAGCCACTCCACCGTTCATCAAGTGCACAGATTGGTAGACAAAATATCCTATGCCTTGGAAGAAAAACTCTATTGCACTGGTGCGTTTCTGAACGTCTCTCAGGCCTTCGACCGCGTATGGCATGCTGGTCTTTTATATAAACTTAAGACTCTTCTCCCTAGTCACTACTATTTAATCCTTAAATCCTATTTAGAAGACCGTCACTTCTCAGTGCGAGTAGGTTCCACCTTTTCTGCTCCTACTTTAATCAATGCAGGCGTACCTCAAGGTGCGGTCACAGCTCCCCTCCTATTTAACATATATATATCTGATCAACCTTCTTCCCTCCATACGCTTGTCGGTGACTTTGCCGACGATAAAGCTATCTTAGCCTCTAGCCCTGATCCTCATTTAGCCTCTAGCTATATTCAGGACCACCTTCACCTTCTCCAAGCCTGGTACAAGGAATGGGGAGTTAAAATGAATGAATCCAAATCGATCCATTGTACTTTTACACTTCGGCAAGGAGTGTGCCCGACCCTCCTCCTTAACAACCAACCCCTCCCCACTGCCCAAAATGTACGCTACCTTGGAGTCAACATCGACCGTCGACTTACCTGGTCAGCTCACATTAAAAATAAAACTCGAACGCTGAACGATCGTTTTCGTCTTCTCCGGCCATTCCTAACTTCTAAAAATATCAAACTACCTACTAAATTACTGCTATATAAACTACTACTCAGGCCCATCTGGTCCTACGGTTTGCAACTCTGGGGCTCAGCCAAAGTATCAAATACAAACCGTATACAAAGGTTCCAATCCAAAGTCCTTCGCGTCATCTCCAAAGCTCCCTTCTATGTTTCAAATGATACCCTTCATTCCGACTTCAATTTACCCACCGTCACTAAACTAGCCAA